GATTTTCATATTGGGATATTTCTAATCGTTCCCATGTAATGTAACATTTTCGCTCTGTTGCTGGCTTCCCATTATATTCATATACTATTTACGATTAAAAACGTATACTTTTACTTAATACAACAAAGACATAAGCAATAAATATATGTTTCGCAACCTATGCATATAGGTTGCGTCAGTATTTAACTGACGCGAATGAAGGTGCCACCTAGATAGGTGACGAAAAGACTAATTTTTATGTATGTATTTGTTTTGTTAAGTCGAAATAAACAATTTTGGTCATGCATTTTCTTGTCTTCTGGAACATTTTGGCATGTACTATTGCACAGTAGTGCGTAAGTGATCGATAAAACTAATAAAAAATATCGCTCATAAGTAGCCGAAAAGAAAAAAAAAACTTGACGGAAAGCAAACGGAAACGGAAACAGCGCTTGTGTCGTTCGCGCCTCCTTTCGTCCTTGTCTATTTTTGCGTGCTGTTTATTTCCACTTACCATGAACCAACTCGCCTGCATCACGATACTTATTCGAAAAGCAAAATATTTAGAGCCACAGTGGCGAGAGAACGAATATACGTATTACAGCCGGCTTATTGTAACTTAGCTAATCTGTTTGAAAATTATTTAATCTGAAATTATTTAATCTGAAAAAAAGAAAGTCAAATAAATAAAGCCGAACACAAGCCGAATCAAGAGGTTACCATGCATCCATTAAGCCATCCTTGTTGATGATTCTGTCTCAAAATGTCAATGCCCATCATGGTTTTCATGTTAAGGAAATCAAGGGTTTTTCGGTGAGAATGCTTTTCCTGTCTTGTATAGGACTAACCGTCAGACTAACCGTCAGAAGCGGTGTTAAGGGGGGGGGCGGGGGGGGGGGGCAGTTGCTAAAGGCTGGTTATGGATGCAAAATGCTAAGTCCGTGGGACTGCACCAGAACATTCAAGGGGATATCTGTGCTCTTGTCTTCAGGCTGGCACTGAAAAAAAAAAAAAAAAAACGTTCAGCCTTTCCACTCTGGTGAAGAAGGAAGACCAGCGAAGCTGTACTATAGTGAGATAGAAGTAATGGCCGACCTCAAGTCGGCAAGCGAGAGTGGAAAGGCTGGAAAAGTTGCCGCCATCTATGAGCGACGGCGGCAACCAGACAACTGGTAAGCCTGTTGTCTGGTTCCCGTCGTCGCTTATAGGTGGCGGTAGCTGTCCAGATTTTTGTGTCATCATTTGTTTGCTGATAGACACGATACTGGGTAAACTAGCCCTTTACAGATCGGCTGTAAAAAGGAAAATACTCGAGAAAATTTAAAGAAGAATTTTTAGGTGAACACCAGTACCGGAATAAAATTATTCATTTGTGTAGAAGTGATCGCACTGCCGATTTCCTACTTTGTCTATTTTGCAGCCGTCGATGCCACCTCTTATGTGATGTGCCCTTGAAGCAATGAGAAAGTGACGAGGAAGTAAATGACTTCGAAGCACTAACTTGTTACATTTATACAGGGAGTTTCGGAGAAACGAGAACCGTGTTTTTCGGCCCAGGTAAATAAACTATGCATCGCAGAAAGCTCTATCTTTGTGAGCATGTGATGCTGTCAGTTTCTAGGAGCCGACGTCCACCCAAGCCTAATATCATGAAAACAAGAAATGACACTGTGGAACCATGTATCAACCATTTCAGAAAAAAAAAAAAAAAAAAAAAAAACTTCTCAGCAATAAAGAGGATATTATTTTCTTTCTTGGTGACACGTTCTTTTTTTTTTTTTTTCACCGAAATAGACATTATAGTCGCCCACAGTATCATTTCTTGTTTTCACGATATCGGGCTTAGTTAGACGTCAACTCAAAAAAAAAATTTCGTTTTTTGTCAATTATGTTTTGATTTAGGTGAAGCCATGTTCTCAAACTATCGTGTTCTACCCCAACCGCTGGCGTCACATTCTCACGAAGTTTGAGCTTTCTGCGATGCTTAGTTTAATCACCAGAACCGTAAAAAAAAAAAGAGTTATCGTGTTTCGGGAACTCCCTCTGTTTAATGTTTCTCACGCTGGTGCAGCGTACCACAGCACCAGCGCTGCTGTTTGATGATCAGCGCTGCAATCCCTCTCAGTAAGTTTCAGTTTGCCCGTAGACGCCAGAAACCGAACTTTTACCCGTGATATTTACAAAACTACAGAAAATATCGATAAACAAATATTTTGTAATTCAGGGAACTAACTGAACTGAAAATAGTCGCAATCCCAAATTTGAACATTTCGACCGGAGGTGCCCTTTAAAGGAATACTGAAACACTTTTCAAGAAATCTGAGTTAGGAGTGGACTTCTATAGCTTTTTGTCCCGTGAATTCAGTTATTGCACTAGTTTTGGGCAGAAGTAAACGTAACCAGCATTCATTTTGAAGAATACGTGCAGCGGTTGCCGCATACGGCCATCTTCTTTGCCTATTGTTATCTGTCCAAAGCGTTGTGACGTCATTGACGGCATCCGTGAACCAGCTTAGTGGCGAGCAAGGGTCCTCTTACCCCGCGTATGACGTCACTTTTGCTAGTTTTTCTCTCCGCTCTCGCGCTTTTCTACCGCTGGCGCGCCGCAACGGGCGGGTCTTCGTCGACATTTTGATTGGCTATTACGACGCTCCTACTAATAAGATCGAAAGAAAACTCTGAATTACGAATGTTACTGTTTGTTCGAATTCGGTGACCTCTTCAGCTTCCCTTTAAGAAACTGAACACCCTCTTAAAATTTCCTCACTTCGACTTTCCAGCGGTGCACTGGGAGAACCAACCAATGCGATCTATACACATTCATAGCGCTTATCACTAAGGCACAAAATGCCGAATCATGGGGCTTTCACGGATGCGTGGGGTCGGATATCCCGCGAAGTGATCCAGCTCAGAACACGTTCCACATCCCAGCTCACGAAGATGGTAACCTGCTGAAGGTGATTATTGGAATGGTATATAGACGTTGTCCGGCGAACGGCGAGGCTAAAATGAATCCAATGAAACTTAAAAAAATTAGGTCTATGAGGTGATATTTAGCGTGCCAAAGAAACATTTAAATGAGGTTACAAGTTGTCTTTGTCTTCGAAGACTGTCACCTCCTTCGTTAACCCAAGATTCGGCCTACGCAGAAGCTGGCCACACCAGGCTACGTTTGAGAAAGAATGGATGCGGGTGGGCGCATCCATTCTTTCTCAAATACTCAAATAATGTCCTTAATACTAAAAATGAATCAGTGATTCGATCATATTCACGTTTACCGTATTTCAACTCAGCCACCATCTAATGGTCCCACGTTTTTAGTTCCTGGAGCTTTGAACTCTATTAAAACATATTTATGTCGAGGACACTGGACAAAAAGGTTCTGATTGTTTTCGTAGACCGCTTCACGCCCTGAGTGGAAGCTACTTTTCTAACCAACATTACTGCATCTACTGTGGATGAAGCTGATATTACCGGATGGGTCGCAGGGAAGGGCTATCCTTCCGTCATCAATTCAGATTTTGGTCGGCAATTTGAGACAAAAGTTTTCAGCGACCTTACATTTCTTCTTGGAAGCACTCGAATACACACCACATCACTCACTTAGAAGCTAATAAGGTGATGCACCTCAAGATCACAATCTGAGCCTTTTAGGCAACTCAGTGGATCGAACAGCTCTCAAAACTGAACAATTTTCAAAATTGAACTTTCAAAAGTACTCTTTGGTATTCGGTGCGCATTAAAAGACCTGAGCTGCTAATCAGCGGGGCGCTATCTGGCACAAGCCTCCATCTCACTGACCAGTTTATACAAGCAATACCCTCTCAGCCATTGACATCGTAGGTTATGAAGCTCGTCTACAAAGCGCAACTCTAGTAACCAGTTAAACCATGAGCAACGTCACATAAACATAAATTCATAAAAACAAATATACCTAGAACAGTTCGCCAATGTATTTGTCAGAGAGACAAACACAGAAAATGACCCGATCCTCATTATGACGCGCCCTACAAATTGATTCGTCGAGACACGAAGACGTTTACCTTGGACATTTATGTTGGCCCGTATTTATTCGTCCGTCCATCCACCAGCAGTGACATATAGGAAGAAAGGTTCAGGCCTTCTCTTCTATGTGCTGGTAACTAGTCTCCTGCTCTACTTGTCAATCTTGTTTTTTTTTGTTTTTTTTGTCTTAACATAAGTCACAGAGCAACAACAAAAATGATAGCGTCCGCAGCGCCGGCGGCTTACGCCTGCTCAGTAGCCGCCCCGTCGCTACAAAAGCAGACACCTTTTCGAATAATAAACGGCGTGCGTTTTTTTAGTGCTATAATAGTCAGTGCATGATATCTTTTTCGTTCCCAATAAAACATATTAGCTGAAAGCAAAACAAATAAAACCGGCGGTTCCTCGAGTAATTTCATCTATACATCGTCTCAGGCACGTAGTTAGGATTTTGTTTCAAGGGGGGCCCGCCCATGACAAAATGGTCGAGGAGGGGGAGGGGGGAAAGGAGGCCCCAGCAAAATTGAAGATTTCGGAGGGGGCCCGGGCCCCATGGGCCTCCCCCCTGGCTACGTGCCTGCATCGTCTGCTTTTTAGCGCGACCGGACGGCTGATGAGCTGCCATAAGCCACCGGGGCCGCTGCCGCCATCCGCCGGTTGTTGCACCAGTCAAAGGGTGCGTGGTTAGCAAACGGGTGCTGTATAGTAGAGAACATCTGTTATTTTCGAACATATTTCCATCGAAGCCGTGATATTTCAAGAAAACACAAAAACGGCAACTAAAGGGCACGGCTCTCAAATAAAGACCGCTAAGGTCTTGAACCCGCAACAGCTGGCAATATCTCATTTTACAAGAACGAAAGCGAAAATTGAACGGAAGTTTGGCGTCATCACTAATTTATCAAAATCAAAATAAAACTACCAAAGAATCAAAAGGAGAGAAACCAGTAAAACCCTTTACTTGAAGAGCACACTGCGATCAAGACTAAAATTGTGTGGAAAACTAAAGAACAGGAATGAATTTCTCAGTTTTTCGGTGTATTCAGGGACTCGTACTTGTCTTGGCGGTAAAAGTATCGGGAACATGCCGGAAAGAACTTTTTGCCCAACGTCTAGGGAGGGAACCAGACGCATGGAGGGTAAGTAATATTGGCACTATAAAAAATTTTTTCCCGTAACTATGGCATTTATGATGTTATCTATTTTAACGACAGATTGAGTGAACGTGCAAATGATAAACTCCTAAGAGTTTTCAGAAATTATCTACTGTTGTGTTTTGCTTAGGAACCGAGGCAAGTTTCCCAGTTATCAAAAAGCACAGTTTACACAGTCAGTACAATTCTTTTATACAGGCATGCAGGTTGGGCAGGGAAGTAATGTAGAGCTCTCTTAAAATTAATCATAATTTTAGTATATTCTGTGAACGGCAAAGTAAACCCCTCCCTTTTTATCGTGCTTTTGCGTTCAGTCAAAGGGAAATACTGATATTAAAAATACTTCAAAACTGAAGTTAAGGAACTTCAAATACCTAAAGAAAATATGTATAGCAATTAACTATTTTAAAGAATATTCATACTGATGTAATGTGGAACGACTCTTTAACCTTATAAAGCAAAACGTAGCAATATTAGACATAAAAAACAGCAACTTGTTTTTGAAAGCCATAATTAGTTTAATGTCTTAGCACTACTAACACTGTTTCTTTAAATGTTTTATTGTTCTACTTGAGTGTAATAAATATAAGGGTACAAAATACCAAAAGATTCTCTCATATTTATTTGGAAATTTAAAATCGAGTCATTGAATGTAAACAACACAAAACAAATATTTATATTTACCACGGTCATAAGAGAGTTTTAATATACTGTGCCGATGACTCCGATAATGATAGCTGATACTCCGCCGCTACCTTTGCTCAAGCATCGTGTCGTCATTGGGGATATTCAAACGATCTACCGAAATTTATTATTACGGCCCCATATATATATATATATATATATTTCTTTTTTTCAGATTCTCCGAAACTTCACGCATCAATTCTTTTTGGCGTATTATTCAAAGATTTCTGAACTAGGATCCGAACAACGGTGCTTGCATACGATTAGACGTTATGAGAAGCCTATGATCCCATGGATGACCATTTTAGTTTATGGCCACACCTTGGACAACATAACTTTGTAGGTAAACGTCGACCCTTTTTGTCAACACCGTATTACAATACCGGGTGTCCCAAGTAGCGGCTGGGCTCTTTGAATCGACCGCAAAATTCGTTTTTTTTTAACCTATCGCGCTACGACTTTGTGCAGCGTTGCCCACAGATGGTGCTTTTTTGTGTAAAATTTGCAAAGAGCGAATTTACTTGAGGAAAAAAGTAAACGAAGAGAAAGGCTTAACCCCGGTGGAAACTCAGCGAAGACACCGGTTTTCAAACAATACGGAGCCGTTTCGCACGGGAGACAAGAAATGGGCAAACGGTCGCGACGCCAACTGCAGCCAACGAACTAGCAGACGACGCAGAGAGCACGCCAGGCACGTAGCCAGGGGGTGGGGGGGCATAAGGCCCGGCTCTTGCCCTGAAATCTTCCATTTTGCTCGGACCTCCTCTCCCCCCTCCCCGTCATATAGCAATTTGTCATGCCCCCCCCCCCCGAAACAAAATCTTGGCTACGAGCCTGGAGCAGGCGTCTTTAGCAGACGATCTTTTGGACTCAAAACCGGAGCGCGTTCCGCAGCAGTGACAATCCCAGAACCAAAAACAGGTGCGGTAACAAGGAACTGCAAAGCAGACAACATACGTACCACGAAAAAAAAACAAAAAAACAGCCAAAATATTCCGACAAACCATTTTTTTAATCGATTATGTGTCCATTCAATGTGTTTTACTAGTAAAGATGATAAAATAATGCGTTGGCAACTGATATCAAAAAAAGCTCGCGCCGTTTTCGAGTCGAAAAGATCGTCTGCTAAAGACGCCCGCTGTCGACGCCGTATTCTCGTTCGTTGGCAGCAGTTGGCGTCGCGACCGCTTGCGCCATCTCTTGTCTCCCGTGCGAAACGGCGCCGTATTGTTTGAAGACCGGTGGCTTCGCTGAGTTTTCACAGGGGCTAAGTCTTTTTCTTTCTTTACTTTTTTTCTCAGTTGAATTTTCTCTTTGCAAATTTTATATAAAAAAAAAGTGCACCATCTGTGGGCAACGCTGCACAAAGTCGTAGCGCGATAGGTTAAGAAACCGAATTTTGCGGTCGATTTAAAGTGCCTGGCCGCTACTTGGGACGCCCGGTAGATAATCAAAACCCCTCATGTGTTATAATAGATAATTAAAACCCCTCATGTGCACTAAAGAGAGTGCAATCTAATAGCCCTATACTTTGTTTCAGCTTAAGTCCAAACGCAGCAAACGTAACGAGTTGATGGGACCAATCCAGCAGCGTCGAAAGCGCAAGCCATTGGGCCTTCTCTGTTTATGATTGACTCAGCGATGATGGAACATGTAGAGATATATTACAAGTACCGTGCGCTTTTGACTCTGATTGGTCCCATCAGCTCGTAGCGTCGGCTGTATCTAGACGTAAGGTGAAACGAAGTATATGTTATCAGTTGTTTTGCTCAAATTACGAATTTTTACATAACTAGAAATACAATCTCACTGTAACCAATTTTGTCATTAATTAGAGCAAAAGGTCAGGATTTCTTGCGCAAGAAAAGTTTTTTTGGCCCACACTTTATTTTAAATACCCATAGTCTATTTTTGCACACATTCTGATGTGGATAAGGCATGGTGATTTAAATTGAGCACGCGGAACAGGATATTCGTTTGTCCTTAGCAGATTGCGTTTCTGTTTTTTGGCCGAAATAGTCTTTTACCTCTTCAGTCGCACGATGAGTTCCGCCAACCACCGTCAAGGACGGGGCATGTGTTTTCTTGGGAAGTACAGTAAACAGGGAAGCACTTTTTATTGCAGCTATGTAGCGCAAATAATAACTTACCGAGAATAAATTGTTGAGAATTTCTTTGATATTTTACTTAAAAGAATAAGTGGATCTTAGGAAATGCATCTCTGAAATGCGGTTCACTAAGAAAACACTACATGGGAGTGGTTCAGCTAGTTCAAAGAAGAGCGCATTTTTAACATATGTTATTGTTTCTTTTTATTTTCAGACTGAGTGGCACAGTGAATGTTGGCGTAACTAAAACGAATCTCTCGTTTGTTTTTGATGATGCTTTTAAGACAACATACAAAGAAAAAGGTAAGTAATAATATAGGAAACATGAAGAATGAAGAATGAAGTTCTTATACCACTGAGGGGATAAGAACTTCACGAAGGTCTTTTTACATCTGCCGCTTCCAGCGCGAGCTTACCTTTAATAACGCTTCGGTGCCTTGTGAGCTTCCAGTGTGTGCAAGTGCAACAAAAGCACGACAAAGGTCAACGAGAATTCTTCTAACGCACGCGGTGCATAACGTGTTTGTAAGATATTTGATGAAGTACTGTTTTATTATGGTAATATAAAGGGAAAACTTCAGCATCTTTCCACATCGAATTACTTTTAACTGAGTCAGGTGAACTGGCTCCTATTAAAGTTTGGCGGATAAAATATATTAATTAGGCGCATATTTATTTCTCAAAAGCAAAAAAAATAGCATGAGTATAACTATATCAGTACACCGTAAGCGTCATTGACTATTCATTAATGTATTAAAACATGCTGTTTTTTTAATTTTTTTTCAGTAAAAGAGGGGGAATACGAAGACAGATTCGACATAAGCGAAATAATTTACACAAATTTTGACACCTGTATGGTTCTCTTCTCAGAGTTACTTGGTAAGTAGAAAACGTCATAGGAATTCGACATAATGTGGTCTCTGTAACAAATTTATAAATTATATTAAAATTACCGATGCGTATGCCAAAAGAAATCCTGCGAACACGTTCTTTAATGTAATTTTTTTTCATAACGTCCATTTACATATTGCCATGTGCATGACGGAGAAGAAAAGCCTCTCCGTTTTTCTACAATATTCAAGGTTACTTTTACTTCGAGCGTAAAAGATAGAGACAACATATGGCCTTGCCGAGTCAGTCTCGCAATAGCTCATTGTCGAACATCTCTGTCGAATACTCGAGATACCGAGTGCAGTAGATAAGGAGCCGAGTGCGGTCATGCCCACTCACTCAGACTCTCCCGACGACGACGCACTCTCGCGCTAACCAGCTGTCACGACGACGCTCCGACGCTCGCGGCTCCTTTCCCGGCGGCGCTCGTTCTTCCCTTTCTTTCTGGCACAAGTTCGCCGATTAAACCTTCATTTTCAGTTTTACGCTCGTCCATCACTTCCATCCGCGACAATATTGAGTGGCTTTTTGTCGTGCGATATGTAAAGTGTACGACAGAAGAGTGCTGTGATTCTACACGGCTCAAAAAGAAGACTCATTTTTTAGGCCGAATCACTCAGGTGGTGACATCAATTGTCTTAAAATGACACTAAACATTTCTTTGAAATCGCATTTTTATGATACAGCTTCAAACTACGTGCTCTCAGTATCCTGAAATCTCAAAACTGCTACTACACTTGGTCATTTTTCTTATTCAAATCGACACATAGATCAGGTTATGCGCCTTTTGAGGTATATCCCAGATAAAAGGGCGTGGCATTCTATTTTATTATATTTTTAATAGAAGAAAGGCCACACACAATTTTATTTTTTCTCCCAACAATTACCTTCATTTCGCTACTACAACAAATAGGTTTTGGTGGCACTTATCTTGCAGCAGGATTTGCGGGCTTCTAACTCCGATTCCCTCAGACCCTGTTTCCGGATGAATATGACACAGTAATACTTCGCTCTCGGCAAAAGGCTTTATTCACTCACTTATTGTCTGGGGGGTTTCGGGATCGGGGAACGGTCATCAGCGAGGCCGGGGGAAAGTCCGCTGCTACTGCAGCTGCTCCAAGTCCCAGTGGTAGTCGTCCACACCGCGTCATGGGGACGTCGTCGTCTAGGGCCGCCGTCCGGTCCGTTTGTCGAGTCCGCAGCCCGACGTAGCGCCCGCACTCCCCGCACCTGCGTCCGCCTCCCCGCCGAATCCTGCGCGATCGTCCTCGTCTTCTGTCGCCGCTGCACGCTCCTTCGTGTCCGCCACCCGAGAGATCCGCCGTCCGAGAGAGCCTCCTCTTTGTCCCGCGTCCAATTGTTCAAGCCTTCGCCAGGGTTGCCAGGTGTTTGAACTCCAACCCGCCAAACGTCTACGAGATATAGCCCAAAAATAGCCAAATGTCGATCGAGAAAAATAGCCCAAAATATCCCAAAAAAACTTATCATTTGAAACGTTTATTTTGAGCAGAAAAGACACATAATACATTTTTATCCATCAAATGCCCCAGAAATGGCGTCCCTTGCACGTTCGGCGAACTTCCTGAAACGCTCGTGCAAGTGCATGACAACATACCTTCCACTATATTGGGACTGACCAGAATGACGTCACGGGAGAACTATGCAGAATTCAGACAATCTAAAGAATGCGCAGAACAGGTGCTGTTAAGGCCGCAAGGAAACGCGCCGTCACTTGTTGAGATGGAGGAATAACAGCACATGCTTGGCATTCGGAGGTAAACAATTGTACCAAGGTGCGCAAAAAAAAGACGAATTTGTTTGCTCTCGCAAACTTATCAGGGTTAAGGGACTGAAGCGCCAAATGTTCACGTAAGTTACTCTAAAAATACATTCAAACCTCTAAACCCAAGTGCTTTCAGGCATTTTGGTTCCAGCACAGGTCAGAAATTGCCCAATGCACAGGTCAGAAATAGCTGAATGCACAGGTTAGAAATAGCCCAATACTAGCCAAATAGCCAACTACCATTTTTTCCCGCCAACTGCAAATAAAACTAGCCCAATTTGGCTATTTATTGCCCAACCTGGCAACCCTGGCCTTCGCCCCTTTGTTCTGGGAAGCCAGTCGTGTGACGTCAGTTGGCTTAGGGGAGCGGCGAAGCCGGACCTTGTGGTGCGCGAGGCCATCGCCGCTCCCCCGAGGCATGACGCATCTCGGAGGCATTGGGTCCGAGTTGCCGGAATTTGGGGCCCGGAGGGTCGGCGCGGGGGAGGGCAGCGAGATCTCCACAGATGTTAATTTGTATTTTTATTGTGTCAAGTTTGAAATTATGAGGTTCAGTCGTTATAATGACATTATATCTCTTATAAGTCTAATCTGCGCTCAGAAAATTAATTTTACGTGATGTTGCTTTATTATTTTGTGTTATTCTTATTGTTGATAAAAACAATATCGCGGGTGACGAAGTAGTTCGAAATATTAGCAATCAATCTCTTTTTGTGTTCCCAAAAGTGCGTTTTTTTTTTGTCTTTTTTTTCTTTTTTCAAAATATAAGAGTATGCAAGTTAATGAAACGCCTACTTTCGTTTTTGTAGGATATCAAGTGTGGGTTACGGGAAAGAACCCCACCGGAAACAGCGGTCTACCGTACCTTTGCACGTTTATATACGAAGCCTGCGCTGGACGAAAAAAACAATGGGCTTACGATTGGACTATATGCCCTAAAATTAAAAATGCTGAGCAACTGACAAAGCCACCAAGATGAAGCCTTAAGTCATGATACCAATGTGTCGACCTTCTTTTGAACTTGCTTCCCACCTCTATGTCACGCTGAATTAAATTTCATAATAATTTAATTACCATTGGTAAAAAGCAATACAAAATAAGTTTATACTTCTTTGGACTGATTTTTTAAGTGTAGTTGCCAATGCCATACAGTTTAAATATGCTTTTATATTTCATAAAAGTACAAAATTAGTATATACTAATGTTGTACTTTTATCAAACAAATTTCACACTAAATGTATATTTTAGTAAGCTTTTAGAATCTGAAATATGCTCTTAAAAAGGCACACCAAAAAAAACCAATTTTTTTTTTTTTTTTTTTTGAAGGGCATAAGTAGGACACGTATCTTTTAAAATATTTTTTTCACGAAGTTTCGAGCTCGTTCAGGCCGATGTCTAAATGCGATTTATACTAGAAATATATTGTCTGTCCTTCGTACCATTTATTTGTAATCAGGAATATCATTGCATGCATCTCTATGTATTTATTTTTGGGGTAACGCGTTGTGTGTGGGATTATTTAGAAGAATACTATTTATTATCTTTCTGCACATTTTGTGTATTCGCCTTCAGATCTACTGTCATAATCCCAAAATCGAAAGTATGGATCGGAGTTGCCCTTTAAGTAGCGGCAATGTCGAGTAGAATATAAAATATTACTTTGTTCTATTTAACAAAAAAAAATTACGAACTAACAAGGGTGATGCTTATTGCAAAATAACTTTACCGGCAGTTTGTCAACAAACCTCAAACGCCAAGCTCTGCCGAAAATATTCACTTGGATCCGCGCTATTTTAGACTAGATTCGATCTGAGTAAGAAGGATCATATAGATTAGAGTGAACAACTATAACGGCACTTTCTTTTCTGCATGATTATTCACCTGCATCACGGTGCTGCTTGTAAACAATGTTGATCAGGACAACAAGCGTTGCGATTGCCGCTTGGTGTTTCAATAAAATGTAGGCTGCAAGGGCTTGCCCTAAAACTTTCGTGACATTTTAAAAATAATATTGCTTTTAGCTCATTTGCGTCGTCATCATATATCTTGTGAAAAGCAGTTCGCAAAACTAGATTTCCCAATATAAATGGCGAGGAGTTGCCCATTCCATAATTTTATGCACTGTATTTAATTCCTAAGTTCACGAGCACAACTAGGCATTCAACTTTTAATACTGCGACGCAAAGTTGCACAAGTCACGGGTATCTTAGGCGGCCTACCAGGCTGTTACCCTTCCGATTCAGGTAAAATATATGCGATTAAGGTAAAAAATAGATATTAAGTCATATAAAGACGCCATTTTGTATGTTAATCTAGCTTTTCTTTTACTGTTTCGCTGAAATTAAATAACGCAATTAGTCACTTTCGGTACCTGAAAATAAAAGTGGATTGTGCGAGTGATAAGAATCTATAAAGTTTCTCATGGGTGTATAATAGTGCCTAAAGGCAAAACAACGCGGAAAATATATTATCAATTTAGCCGTTCAAACTGGTTTCAACCGGTTCGAAAGGCTATTTTTGCTCATCGGAACTGAACCGGAACTGTACCGAAAGCTATGAACCCGAACCTAACCGATAAAAATATCGGGTCGACATTCTGCCTCCTTCTGAATGGCGGTGAGATTCGAAGCGCCACTAAGAACGGCAACTATGAATGCCTGCGGGCTCGCAGCCCGGCGCCGGCAATACCAGCTGAATCGACCGTTTGCGGAGAACGAGCTTCATATCATCGCTGTTTACGAGACAAAGGTCGAGAGCCAAGAGCGGACGGGCCGCACGGTGCAGCCTTTGCGAACTCTTTTTTTAATGTATCTATTTCGCACGCCGATGGAACCTCGGGCGGCTGTTGTTTGTTTGTTCGCCCGTCATTAGGTGTCACGGAGACGGCTATGCTTGCGTCTGCTTTCGGCCGCTTTGTTGTTTGCGATTTTCCATTTTCTGACGTTGAATGGCGTGACATTTGCGTTTACGAGCCGACTAGCGAGTGCGAGCGCAAAGCTTTAAACTATTAACGAGTACCTTAACTGTGAGAGGGCTGTCATTTTGCTCCTCGAGTTTAACTGTGTTTGTACGCCTGATGATCGTTCGAATCAGGAACGCGTCCGCGACCAGAGCGCTTTTTTTTTTAAACGACATTGTCGCGGAAAATTTATTGGAGGATGTCGCATCTGTTTCCTCAAAAAGCAGCGTTCCTTTCACACATTTCCAAGGCCAGAGCCACGCTCGACTAGCCAGAGCATACATATATATCTGGATTCAGTTCCTCTGTGCTCCCATTACTCGGTTTAGATTGTGTCTTTCAGTGATCACGTCTAGTTTTGTTTACTCTTGGGAGCAAAGTCAAAATTCCTGGGTGGAACTGGTCATTATAAAAGTTGAACAGTGGCCTCGTCATGGTGCCTGGACCGCGTCTTCGACTGGTGTGTTTAGCGTCCTATCCCGCCCATACATCAAAAGTGGTACCAGTGTGGCAAAAAATGACGTCACAGAAGCCGGAGTGTCATGCTGTTGCCTGTCGTGATCCTGGCGGTTGGCCGTAGAAATGCTGGCTAAAAGCACGAGCGAACGTGAGTGTCGCTGTCGTCACGACGTCCCAGGCGTCCCAACTTCCGCCTGCTCTAGCTTCCGTGAATGGACCGTTTCCGAGAAGCGTTCTGCGCACGCGCGAGCGCCCGATGCCAAGCGGCGGAAGTCGGAACAAAAAATCGAGGAAATTCAGAAGGAGGCTGTGTATCAGCGAGTAGAACACGTTACTGCAGCATATACAAAATTGTGTTACACAAAAAAAGAACATCGACGGAAAGGAAAACACGGCGTTTGGGTGGACGCCACGGATGCCCCTCTTTAAAGTCGTGTTGGGTAGGCGCCGCTGCTCAGAGAGCGAAGAAACTGGTAGCGTAGCTCCCATTATCGATTGGTAGCGCAGGTAGGTTACTTCCTCGATTTTTAGTTAGTGCAGCCACCGCCTGGTGCCGTCGGTATGTGGAAAAGGTCCATTGTCATAGTGGAGAGTGACCTGCAGCAGAGCAGGCGTCTGCCACTTATATCACAACTGTTGAGACGCTGTCAGGGTCGCAACCGGCGACAACATGACACTTATATGGCGTCATCAGGCGGAAATCGAGGGACCACTGTTTTGGCCGCGGAAAACACACCAGTCGGAGACGCGTTCCAGGCACCATAGCCTCGTGAAGGATGAAGTTTTAAATGTAAAGTAGATGCTCTATTTAGGAAGCTATACGAGGATGCGCAGATATTGGAGGGAGGGGGGGGGGGGGGGGGATTCTTTAAAGGGGGAATTAAAATGACTGTTATTGAAAGGGGTACTATTTTCAGTAACCAGATGAAGCAGAAAGAGAAGAAGCTGCGCCGCCAGCTGTACATCCTTCTGATCGAAGAAAGCGCGAAGCCATGCGAGTTTGTCGACGAAATAAGAAATGTTAAAAGTCAACTGGAAGTCATCGACTGCGAAAGGTACCGCGGGGCTGTTGTGTGGGCGCTGTCTGAAAGGTTGTGGTTAAGCGAGAATCCGACGAAACGGGCACTTAGAGATGGAAAACGGGAAGCGCAGAAAAAGGAGATTAAAGAAATACGATATAATAACACGATAACTCGCGATAACGGTATAATTAGAGGGTATTTGTTGAGCATTTCCGTGATCTCTTTGCGCGTAGCGCTCCTTCTGACGACAGCTTTAATGATAATTTTTTTGTCCTTGATGCTCAATCTGCAAGATGACGTTCGCGAAAAATTAGAAACGCCGATTACAGCCTGCGAGATTGAGACGGCCATCGATAAGCTAACTGCTGGCAAAACGACAGGCCCAGACGGCCACTGTGGCGAATTTTATAATGTGTTTAAAAGAAAGGCAGCTGACGTTTCGTATCAGGCGATGACGGAGGCGTATTGTAAGCGTGTGCTGTCGTCCCCCTTTTTGGGGACACACATTGTCCTCATTCCAAAGGTTGACGACCCCGTAAGACTTTTTGTCAGTCGACTCTTGCAGGCCATTAAGTCTGACAAATGTTGACTACAGTATAAGATTTTTATGAAAGTCTTGGCCAGGTGCTTAGAGAATGTCATAACTAGTCTTGTGGGACCGCATCAGACATGCGGTACTAAAGGGCGCAATATATTTTTACGAATATTCATGCTGCAAGTAGCACGCTAGAATGTTGCGATGCTCTCGATTGCCGTGTGGCTTTGTTGCAGTTAGACCTGGAGAAGGCGTTCGACAGGGTGTCGCATAAGGTACTTTTTTCGTATTTACCTGCTCTGTGATCTTAGGTGGTTTAAAAATGGCGTACGCCAATTGTACGACGTCTATTATTATAAATACGAAAGCTAGTGAAAGTGTATCTGTCCTTTCGTCTGCAACGCACTGTCCCCCTCGCTGTTTGCGATGTAGTGCTTAGAGCCCTTGTGTTTAAAACTGATTATCAATGAAAACATTCGTGGGTTTAAGTTGGAGTCTTGCGAGATAAAAGTTCTTTCTTACGCAAACGACGTTGCGGGTTTTTTTGTTGTTTTTTTTTCGTCGATCAAGACAGCGTGCGTGAGTCGGTCCTGTTGCTTCTTCGTATTGTAAGAATACGGGGAGTGTAATAAACTGGAGAAATGCCCCGGTTTCTGAAACGGAAACTGGGACTTCCAACCGGAGGTTATTTTAAACGTTCAGTGGGCAGCCTTGCCCGCAAAGTAGCTTGGTGTGCCGCTCGAGCACTACCGGGACTGCACGCAACTGTGGAGTGTGGAGCTGTCAATGTCGCGGCCTTTACGTGCGGAGGTTGCACAGGGTATTCGCCGTTTTTATTTGGAGTTCGTGCTAGGAGAGTTAGGCTCGCACAAACTTGTTCCGATCTGTTTGTTCGCAATGGGGATCTGGGATTGTCCCATCCTTTATACGACAAATAGTGTGTCGTTTTATGTTCTTCCGCTACCAGCAAGATTTGTTTTACGCACAGTCATGCAGGTGTGACT